GACTCGGACTGGAGAGATGGGAAGAGTCAGAGTACTGGGGGCTTTGCTTACAGAGAGATAGGTCAGTGGTCCAAGCCCCACTTTGGAGCAAACAGAGGTCTTCAAGAAGAGGAATGGCATTTTTGCTTTGTAGGTTGGTGGCTTTGGTAGCAGAATGGAGGAAGCTGAAGAGGGAAGAAACTGGCTCTGTGAGATCTGTCCTGGATATGGAGTGTTTGTGGAGGCCACCGGGCCCTTACCTCAGGACATTGGTACTGGGAATAGCATGGAAGAGACAGTGTTTTGGGAGAAATGTTGGGAATTACCTGGGCCTGTGAGCAGATCTAGGTTCAGATCTTGACTCTGCCACCAAGGAACCTCATTATCTGCATGCCTTAGTTTCCTGAGCAATACAATGAAAGTATATGACTCCTATCTCACAGGCTGTCGGGGGAAATTGAGCACTTATTAGAGCCTTCTAAGGAATTGCATGAATTAATTCTCTTAGTCTTTCCACTTGGTGAAGTGCCCATTGAATTAAGTACTGTGATCTTCACCATTTGACACATGAAGAGGTTATAGAACTTGCCCAAGATCACATTGTATTCATACTAATAGGAAGTGGCCCACATTGTTAGCCACTCTGCTTGAAATACCTGTGACAGATAGTAACTAATAAGGGAGAGGGGGCAGCCTTTTGAAGAGATGACAGCTGAGCAGAGAGACCTGATGTGTGAGAATGTACCAGGCATCTTGTGAAGAGCAAGGGCAGAGTCTAGCTGAGAAAGAGCTTTCGAGGTCTAAGAAGAGAATGGTGGTCAATGTGCCTATAGCAGCAGAGTGAGCCAAGGAGAGAAGAGAAGGGAGGAAGAAGACAGAGTGAGAAGGAGGTAGGTAGACATCTGGCAGGGCCCTGAGGACTGAGGTAAGGGCTGGGATTTTATTTTTAAGAAGTGGGAAGCCACTAGAGAAATTTTAATGGTAGTGACATTTGTTGGAGGACTTCAAAGAACCACTCTGGCAGCTTTGTGGAAGGGATTGTGAACTACGTGGGAGACTTCTTCCTTAGCCCATTGGAGGGTGCTGCTGACAGGCTGTACAGTGATCCTAGATATG